ATCACGGGAATTGCCTCTACACAAACTACATGTATATTCAAATCAGAGTCAGTTCACCCGAATAAGCCACCTTGCATACACATACCTTGTGTTTTGGACGCCTAGATGTATAATACATGTATTGCAACTAGTATCCTTCTTTCATTGAAAGCACATGAGTCACCAATCGAGTTTAAGTTTATCCATGCCCAAGTCACTTCAAGAAGAACAACACTTCACAGACGCATCATGCAACAAGATATTTAAAGCCCATCTGCACTAGTTTGACCAGGAGGGATTAGACCTCCCTGTATAGTCACTGACAGGTGTTTATCTCATCAAATAAGCTCTCAATTAATATTTACAATAGGGAATCATGGGGGACCAATGGTCACCGATTAGGCATTGTTTGCGATATAGATGGCGCAAGCAGCTATAAGTAGTGCATTTGGGATTTGAACGGAGAATACAGTCATTCTCAAGCTCCTGGGACCAGTCACACTAACGACACAGAAACGTGACTAGACCTAGGAGTCGGTGTAAAGTCGTATTACAAGTCATGATATCACCGAAAGCGTTTGGCTGAGTCACCAATTAGATTAGTTATAACGCCAATCACCCCGATAAGAACGACACCCGGACACTGCAGAGTTAAAGATGAAGTTGAGTTCTGGCTAGTAACTTCTTGGTTCAGGTCATGCGATTGCATTGTGAAAGAAACGGTGTGGAATCGAACAGAAAAGGTTGATCATCTAGTGCGTATTGCAAGGTTCTGGAATCATCAAAATGATAAGAAATTTGGCCAAGTCTTGGTAAAGTTACAAACACTGTACATAGAAAGATGTATATGGGACTACACGAACACGTGGCGTAAAAATCCTACCTCCGAGTTTTACGATGTTAGATGACATATTTAGAATATGAAGGCATTTGAAGAGCCATGCTTTTCAGGGAAGATGTCTTATCTGATGTTCTTCCACACTTGCATAACAAGAATGATAACGCTCACAAATTATTTTTACCTCTTCCCAGAACTGAACCTTCTCTTTAACAGATTTAAACGGAAAGTACAGTATTGCTCCAGTGACTGGGTCCAGTCACACGAGACCGACAGCAAGTCGGTTGGGGATCGGTTTGGGTGGATATAACTTCGGTTGAGATGTGTGTATAACCAATCGAATACATTACCGTCACACCGACAAGAACGACACCATATCGACCAGTCTTGAACAGAAATATTAAAGAAACCCGACAAGCTATTTAAGATTTGTGAATCTTATTCGGTTTTATACCCAAGTCATGTCATTACATCGAACCCATACCGATGGCGTTGTGGGGCCAATATTGGAACAATTATTGTTTGGTCGGTCTTTCGTCGGTCTGTTATCGGTCTCGTTGGTGTGGCATTGGGTAGGTTCTAACACAAATTTGGTGATATCGCATGTCAGTCAATATCATTGTATTGGGCGTGACCTCAAATTTGTACCGTACGTCGCCCTTGGCTTTGGCAGGTCCTGGTGTATTATTAGGGACAATAGGCGAGAAAAGTCCATTGTGACGTATACAAATATTTGAAAGCCTCTGAAATGCGTTCAGTGTCAAGTTTGCAAAGGCAAGTTCATACTTCAGTGCACCAGCCACCGTGAGGCGTGAGCTACTGCCAAAATAAGAAATCACAACTGTGACTGACTGTTGTTATTTCGTATCGCTAAGGCGTTTATTTCATCACAATTAGGCGTATTGCAATTTTGTTTCTTCTTCTGAACGATAAACTGAATACAATATCCCGAATATTTATTATCTCGGCATACCTTTCGCTTACGGCCCTTTGTACTCTAACTTCACACTCCTGCGCAACATGTTATTCTCCTGCCTATCATTTACACCGAGGTACATGTATATACATTTCCGGCCATACATGGGTGATTTTAATCGACTCTGCTTTTACAATCTTCTTCGTTTTCAATGGATTTCCCTTTTTCTCGTCGACCAAACAAACATCAACAAATGCCTTGAATTTGATGTACGTGTATGCAAGGAAGTAGGTACAATGTCTTCTGAAGCGCAATTCCCTTCTGTGTGCATGACTAGAGCCTAGTGGATGAAAATTGAGAATTCAGCCATCGCCCTCTTATTCACGTTAGGACCTACACCATATTACATTATGAGTACGGTTGAGTTTATTCCTCAAACTTTGGCTAAATAACGACTTTTGTGGATTTGTCGAGATATGGGCAACAGTTTAAATAGTAATACGACAGGAATTTGAGCTAACATCTTCCTGCTTTGATTTGAGTGAGGGTGTGTACAATAATTTATCCAGGACTCACACCGTCTGATCTTTGGTGCCCTACTTTCCCGCCATATTGGAAAGCCATTAAAAGTCAAAAGATAACAAAATATTCAAATCTTTCCGTTTGACAGGAGACAGCTAGGACTAGACGATGAAACAGTTGCAGAACAACTGCAAAAGTGCTCCTCCTCCCAGTGAACAAAATACACGGGGGCTCAGGGCCAATTTGCCCACGAAATGCCCAAAAGAGCCCCCGAAAATCAGAAAAGAGCCCCCGTAAATTTGTTCAAATTTGTTTATGCAGGCAAGCTTGAAAAGTAGCCCCCGAAAAAATAAATATTAATTTTTGTCACTGCCTCCTACACCAACAGGTTCAGGGCCAATACGGGAATACGCGAAGGATAACAAGTATCTGTTTGACACGAGACAGTTAGGGCCAGACGATGAAACAGTTACAGAACAACTGCAGAAGTGCTCCAACACAAACAGGTTCAAGGCCAATGCATGTGGGAATACATGATCATGGCCCTCTGACCTCTGACCTGCCCCCACCAAAACTCCAGTGGCGTATCCAGCAGAAGGTGAAATAAGTGTACTCCACGCCATCGCCCCACCCCCTCCCCTCGCTCAAATTATCTAGATGTAAACAAAAACTTACAAGAGTCATTATAAAGGGTTATTATAAAGGATCAATCATCAATTCGATTGGGGTGAAATACATAACTGATGGAACCCACTACCAGCACTGGATTGAGTTCACTCTGATTGGAGTACATTGTTTTGTTGTAGATTTGACTCCAAAAAAGTGATTCGTGATATGAATCCTAAGAATCGATTTCGTGAGAAGGCATAACATTCGGTCAGAATTCAAGCTCGGTTCTAGATTTGTTTTCAGGGGAATGCAGACATAAAACTACCCGCCCGGGGAATATAACCCCCCCCCCCCCCCCCCGACTAACAGATACTCATTTATGTTTGCGCCATAAATGAAGAAACCATGGAAACATCGTAACGTTCGATTGATCTTTAGTGCACTCTTATAGGCCCACCCAAAGTTTACATTGATAACCATTGTTGTTTATGTGTAATTAATGTTTGCACATGGGCACAATTTCAGTAGCTTATCCCCCACTCTCTCTCTCTCTCTCCCCTTCTCTCTCTCTCTCTCTCTCTATATATATATATCTTCTTTACAACCACTCCCCGGTTAATTTGTTCTCTCTCCATTCTCATCACCCCCCCCCCCCCCCCCACAGTCGATTACGCCGAGAAATCGGATGCTATTATAGCTGCTGTTAGATTTCTCTGATAAATATTTGACAATATTTGACAATTCCATCTGTGTCAACAAGGGAAGCGGCAATGTATTGACTGAAAAGTACCAAATGGATTGAGCATATGCTAACGGGCCTCATTATACTAGGGGAGCTTCTGCCGTTTCATTCGTTGGCTAGGGAGATATGAAAACATATTTATTAATAAAACATGGCCGCACAAATGGACAAAATATGCTCTCTAATGGTCTGCATATGGCTTCTTTAATGACGTTGACCAAGGCTGTGGGTCAAAGCTCAGTGTTTGTGGGCAGTGTACAGATAACAAACGGAAACCGGCCATTTATGTTTGGGGTAGAGTCCAGGGTACTTTAATCTCGAGGGGCTTACAAAGCGCATGGTCAATTCAAATTCGTGGCAGCAATTTATCTTGTTCCTGCATTGTTTGCAGATGGAAGACCAGAGTTCCTCTTTACTACAGGCAGCCATGTTGACATAATCTATTCATTATTAGCCGCATGTCTATACATCCTGCTAATTGATTTAATTCACTCTTTAGAAATCAATGTTTAGCACGTTTGTATTGTATGACCAGGGCATGCCCCTCCCTGGTATAACTAGCTGGAGTGCGCGGGGAGGGAGGGGGGGGGGGGGGGAGTATAGTCTTTCAAAATTCAAAAATGGGCTTGGATGTTCATTCATGTTTTTACCAAATTACCGCGTGTTTTATATCAAAACATTGCTTGGAACTATGATATGAACGTAATGTTATACCAATTGTTCGTCATAAGCCTATTGTTTACACGCGTTTTAATAAGAAAAAGGGGGATTTCACAGTCCGATTATTTTCAGTCAAGCGCTTGACCCATGCCTTCTAATTCTATATATTCACACTCAATCCTGTCAGTCGAAATATATCCCAATCACAGACTCAACTGCACACCGTCTGATAAATTGGAAATGTTAGAGTAACACTGATAGGAGTTAAAAACCAAACTAATATCGCACATGTGCACAAGCTAACATTAAAATCGAAACAACAACATTCCCTAGACCTAGATGTGTAGAATCATAATATTAGTCAACTGCTAAAAAATGCAGATTTACTGTCCATAATAATACACCACAACACATTACACAGAATTGTACACGGATATGACACGTGCCTGGTTTGTATGGCCATAGTATGGTATGGCACGGGTCATTGTTGTCCATCGGACAAAGGAGCCCCTCCTCGCCTGCCCCGTCCCACCACTTGCACACTCACACACAGCCCCGACTATGCCAGCGCTACTGGCGTACAATATACACGCAGCCCGCTGTGATTAGTGTGAAATTGAATCCGACCAGCTTGAATTACTGTACTAGCTGGGTAAAATGGTTTTGTCTCCGCTAATCACGTAATTATGTACTTGTAGCAATGAATAGATTACGGAAAATGGTGTAATACTTACCACTTATCAAAATCCTCGTGAAAGTTCGTAAATATATCCGCTAGAAATGAGTCACAAGAGGCAATTTCCCCGAATCCAAACTGTACAGCAAAACGTCTGCAGAAACTCCACAACGGTCACAAACGTGTTTTGCAGCTGTCAAGTAAAAGTGATTTATCCTTCAAATAATGGCATACTAAATTCCCTAATATATAAACTGAACTACTTTAAACATGTTTAAAATAACATACGGTGTAAGTAGCATAAACCTCCGGTACACTAATTAATCCACTTCCGATCGTTTAGTAATTAGTATATCGACGTTTACAGCACAGATTGTATGTGGCTTTCGAGGTGATCCAAAAACCATTAGCAAGTGCCACTGTTTGAAGTTTGCACTCGCAAAACGAGGAGGTGGTATAATGATAGTCTGCAAAATCAGACACAAAAATGTTCTCGAAAATGTTCACAAAATACAGTTGGACTTGGAGACGAAGTATGTTTCTAGTACTTAGCAAATATTTTGACAGCAAAGACAAGAATACACTACCTACTTTCTTCTTTATTCGCGGGGGGGGGGGGGGTGATTTGCATACAATTGCGTGGCTAAGGTGAGTAGACTTGGGCCCCCCCCCTCAATAATGAATGGAAAAGAGAGAACCGATAGAAAGAAAGGAAAGGGAAGAATTAACGAACAACAAAATAAGATGGCCTTGTCATTTTTCTTTGCTAATCATGTAACATCGTACCGTAACCCCCCCCCCCCCCCGGGCACACAGCTTCTGAGTCTCTCTTCCTCTCTCTCACACACACACACACACACACACACATACTCTCTCTCTCTCTCTCTCTCTCTCTCTCTGTATATGTATCTAAAATAAATTATTTGCATGTATCACCCTCCCCTATGTCATTCTGTCCATCTATCCATATATTCATTATATCCATCCATTCTTCCAACCCCCTCTCCCTCTCCCTCTCTCTCTCCCTCTCCCTCTCTCTCTCTCTCCCTCCCCCTCTCTCTCTCTCTCTCTCTCTCTGACTCTCTCATCCTCATAGTACTCTAATTTCCCCTCTCTCGATCCATCACGCTTCTAACTTTCTTCAAACGTTAGCGTAATGTCTGATCAATAAGACTAATACACTATAGGTAAGTGCACTCTAGAGGGCTTTGTTATAAACAGCGGACTCTCTTTTCAAAGATCAAAGAAAATTGGGTGAATGCAAACTGCCCAGCGGGCTTTCGAAGACGATAAGCGATATTTCAATATTTTAATGAAGATTAAGATAGGTGCGGGAAATACTGATGGACTTCAAAGGGAGAGAACTTATATCTCCTCTACAATTTATATAGTATTGACCGTGCTTTAGCCGGATTGAAATTCCGACTTTGCTGTAAATGACTTGATTCGCGTTCTTATACAAACAGATATTCATAAAAAGTAGGTTTGAATTCCTTTTTTGTTTAACAGTGAATGAAAAGTGGCGAAAAGTGAGTTTGAAAATAGAAATGGGCCATTTAAGACAGATTTGTTGGCCCCGGGTCAAAAAGTTATTTCAATACAAATTATAATAATTTGTAAGGCTTGGGTGTTTACTAAACCATACAAACAGAATGTGAGATTTTTTAATATAATTTGTTTTAATTTGAATTCTGGATTATTGTAATCGCATACTAAAATCATCGTTATTTTTGTGGCGGATTTAACAAGAACAGTTTTGAATTCCAAAAAAATTCACCTTCTACCTTCAAACGTAAATGAATGTTATTCAAAATACAGACATTTTAAAACCTTCCATCAAAATATCTTTCAGTCATTGCGGCAAAGCCATGTCACGGTAATCGTGCCACGCTACAAAATATGAGTCAAAAGACTTCTTCTTATTTTGCGTGGACTATTATGAACAGAGAAAAGCTATGGAGAGAATCAAATTAACAGGAGAGAGAGAGAGAAAAAAAATAGAAATGGTGACAATACTATGATAGTAATCTTGTCTAATAACAAGAAAACTAACCAGAAGCCAAATATCTTCTGCGGCATGTTAAATCAGAACAAAATATTTATATTATATGTTCAAAGCCAGGAATGGATTGAACTCTGTGTTCAAGCGTATGAATTCACGCCCCAATTGCTCTAAGTAGTCAATATTAAACATTCCAATCGAATGCATAAATTTTGTTAAATTGTACCTAGAAATTGATAATCAGGATTAATGAAAGATTGTTTCTCTACATCTAAATGAGAACGGAATGCGTTTACATAATTATGAATGATTTTTTTTGTTTTATATATAATTCTTTTTCTTCTTATAGGCCTATCTAACACTAATGTCACCATGGACTGCCCCTTTAGTATTATGCCTATTAAAACGATTTTCGATCTAATTACAGGGAACTTCTCCGTAAGGCAATAAAAGCTTAAATAAATGTTTATCACGTACATGTAGGCCTACTCTCTTTTTTCTCACCAACTATTGTTATAATTCATATTATTATAATCATCAATGTTATTATTATAAATTTATTATCACTATTATTACTATCATTATTGTTTTAGTTTCATTATTAGCTTATTTGTTTCTTTCTTTGTTTCTTTAATATTTTGTTTTTATTAATCCATTTCTTTCTTTATTCTTTTTCTGTCTTCCTTCCTTCCTTTCTTGTTATCTTTCTTCCATCACTTTCTTTCTTTCAACAACATCTAATTTGATTCCAGACCTTGTTGGGCTGCATCGTCTGACACGTCAAAACAGATTTAGAGGGAAAATCTTCGCGGTGTGTAAATTGGAAATTCGATCATTGAACGGATAAGAAGGCTAAAGTTAGAGATAATGGGAAGATTTCATGAACGATGGAAGAATATTACGGACAGTAGGCGGGATGAGGCGAAGGGGTGGGAAGAGAGAAGGAACGAAAGAGAGAGAGAGTGTATGTGGGGTGGTGGGGACAGAGGCGAAGTGAAAGAGGAAGAAGGGAGAGAGAGAGAGAGAGAGGGGGGGGGGTGAAAGGGGGATGAGGAGTGTGAGACATAGAGATAGGCTTCAGTTATCGGTAAAAGAAGAATATTTCATTGCGAGGCAACATTTATGTGGGGTGAGGCTGGATGAGAGCAGAAAGAGAGAGAGAAAAGGACGGGGGCGGTGACGCACAAACGATTAAATAAATGATAATGGGAAGATTTCATGAACGATGGAAGAATATTAGGGACAGTAGGCGGGATGAGGGGAAGGGGTGGGAAGAGAGAAGGGACGAAAGAGAGAGAGAGAGAGAGAGAGAGAGAGAGAGTGTGTGTGTGTGGGGTGGTGGAGACAGAGGCGAGGTGAAAGAGGAAGAAGAGAGAGAGAGAGAGAGAGAGAGAGAGAGGGGGGGGGGGGTGTGAAAGGGGGATAAGGAGTGTGAGATATAGAGAAAGGCTTTAGTTATCGGTAATATAAGAATATTTCAATTGCGATGCAACATTTAAATGTGCGGTGAGGCTGGATGAGAGCAGAAAGAGAGAGAAAGGTCGGGGGCGGTGACTCACAAACAAATAAATAAATGAAGAAGTGTAAAGAAGGAAAAAAAAATGTATTAAAATGACAATTATCAAAACAACGCATGTAATGACCTCATGTGAAGGAGCGAGAAAGGAGTGCATAAAACAAACATTACTTCACATAAGAGAGACATTATAACCACGTGTAGATGTACAACATTTTTACGGAGCATGCCTCAACATAATTACCCCCTCCCCCTCCTCTTCCCCTGGATACGCCTCTATAATCATAATCAGACTGCCAGAGGGAGAGAGAATGAAGGGTGGGGGCGCTGATTTGGAAGGGCAGACCCGACAATTATGGCAAACGTCACCGGAAAAGAAGAAGAAGAAGAAGAAGAAGAAGAAGAAGAAGAAGAAGAAGAAGAAGAAGAAGAAGGAGGAGGAGGAGGAGGAGGAGAAGGAGGTGAAAAGGGAAAAGAAGAAGAAGAAGAAGAAGAAGAAGAAGAAGAAGAAGAAGAAGGAGGAGGATGAGGAGGAGAAGGAGGAGGAGAAAGGGAGAAGAAGAACAAGAAGAAGAAAAGAAGGAGGTCTGGAGGAGAATAAGAAGAAATGGAAGAAGAAGAAGAAGGAAAAGAAGGAGATCTGGAGGAGAATACGAAGAAATGGAAAAAGAAGAAAAAGAAGGAGGAGGAGAAGGAGGAGGAGGAGGAGGATGAGGAGGAGGAAAAGAAAAAGTAGAATAATAAATGGAAGAAGAAGAAGAAGAAGAAGGAGGAGGAAAAGGAGGAGGAGGAGGAGGAGGAGGAAAATAAAAGGAGAAGAACAAATGGAAGAAGAATAAGAAGGAAAATGAAGGAGGTCTGGAGAAGAATAAGAGGAAATGGAAGAAGAAGAAGAAGAAGAAGAAGAAGAAGAAGAAGAAGAAGACGGAGAAGGAGGAAGAGGAGGAGGAGGAGGAGGAGGAGGAGGAGGAGGAGGAGGAGGAAAAGAAAAAGGAGAATAATAAATGGAAGAAGAAGAAGGAGAATTAGAAGACGAAGAAGAAGTAGAAGACGAAGAAGAAGAAAAAGAATAAGAAGAAGAAGAAGAAGAAGAAGAAGAAGAAGAAGAAGAAGAAGAAGAAGAAGAAGAAGAAACGGAAGAAGATGATGAAGAAGAAGTAGCAGAGGAAGAAGACGAAGAAGAAAGGAAAAAGAACAAGGAGAAGACTGAAGAAAACTGAAAACCCCATAACGTCCATAATGTGTACAGAAGATATTAAACTATTAATACTCTCGACAAATAGCTCATGTCAAGACAGTCAACAATAACAGCAGCTGTACTGTCGGATGGAGCCTGACTACTGCAGGGAATCTCAAAAATGCTGAAGGCTAATTTAAGGTTTGACATAATTATGAGTAGGCATATGGCTTCATTTATTCCATGATTGTTTTTTTACCGTTTAGTTTACTTTTCTAATGCAATCGTACAAATAATGATTTACAAAGGTTTCTTTTTTCCATACTAAAGGGATTGGGTAACTCTGTCTCAGATTCTGAAACAACATCCTGGATTTAGCTCATGCTGCAATCATATTTATACACCTTTAGGTCAGTCAGGAACCCCAAGCCGATCGCCTGTCTGATTATCAAGATATTTATGATTGAAAGTCGAAATCAAATATTGCGTTCTTCTAAAGATTTTCATAACACTACAATCTATTGGGGAAAATGAGTATGGTAAAACCGGTCACTCAAAGATTTTTTAATTTTTTGAGGCACTTCATGATCATTTTGAAGCGCAATTTTGTTAGGGCTTCAATATTACACCATATGACAGACACTGATAACATGTAGGACCATGCATTTCAGATTTAACACTGTTAAACGATGCCTTTAAGATAAATGCAATGGTTATTCAACAAAAAATGTTTAAAGACTGTTCTG